TCAAGGCATCAGACAATGAAAGAACTGTACAGTGATGAGTCCAACCAGAAGTTTTTTATGAATTTTATAGGCCCTGTTGTAGAGCCTAACTATGGGTTCTAAGGTTCTTGTCACCCAGGATGATCCACACAGGGATTGTATTGTGCACCAAGCATTATGGAACCCCATGGCTGCCATTCAGACACAAGTATTAGACTCCTCAGGTTTTCATTTGGGTTTGTTTCAGCTTTTGGGCCAGAGTTGTGGAAAGGTGTTTTCCTGGAAACCTGATGGTGGGCCAGAGTCTTTCTTCAGGTCATCTCACAGTGACTCTGAAGATCCTGATGACTCAGTGGGTCCTGTGTCAGGGTGTCTTACCCCTCCAAATACAGCACCCCGATACAGTCTTTCCGCAAGAGGACACCCGGACATGTCTCCATGGATTAGATCATCTTGAGGTCCTCCTGTGCACAGCCAAGAACCCTGATCTTTCCCAGTGAAGGGGTCAATAAGCTCAAACTGTAACTCTGACAGATTTTGAGGATCAGTTTCAGCCACTCCGTCTRAGGTCTAAACTGTCTTTTTTTCTGTCAGTAAATATGTATACTTGACTTTTAAACTGAATTTGGTTCGAGACAYGTTTTGGCTGCAGATTTTGACCAGAAGATGAGTGGGAACCAGTAGATGACAATGTGGGTGTAAGAGCTACAAAAATCTGGATCTCCTCTTCCTCAAGAAACTGATATAAAATCTCTTGTGTGTGACACAATCCAGTCAGCTCTGAATACAAAAGGCTCAACTGATTATTATTATTATTATTCTTTTGCAGCTTTTTGAATACAGTTTTACAGTGCCTTGCAAAAGTAGTCAACGATTTTGGTAATCTTTTAATTGCCTTACAAAGTGACTTCTTTTAAATCCTTTAAAAAAATCAAACTGAAAGCCAATGTGTACATATGCACTCATCTCCTTTGCAGCATTATGTCTCTTCACTTCCATCTTACACTAAACGTTTTGGTCGATTCTTCGTGACCAAACGTCTGCAGCTCCTTCAGGTTGGATGGTGCTGCCTGTGTTAAACAATCTTTAAATCAAACCAGAGATTCTCTGCTGGATTGAGGTCTGGGTTTGAGTGGATCATTCCAGGACCTTTAGTTTTCCTTCACCCAGTCGAGTGTTGTACACCCTCCTTATCCGATCTGTGAGTTTTTGGACAATCCTCTCTTGGCAGATTTGCTGTGGTGGCATAATCCTTCCAATGCAAATAATGAATCCCAATAATGGATTTGATGGCCAGGGGTCAATAAATGCAAAATATTTATGTTAGAATATTTGGTGATGGTAGATATTTGGTAATGTTTGGTGTTTAAACCTTACAATTTATATATCCCAGAACCCTGAACATCTCATGGAGAGGCCCTCCATGAGATGTACAGGGTTCTGGGATATTTATGTATTTTTAACCCWACCCTGATCTGTACCTGTAGGAAGAGTTCCTTGGTCTTTATGCCGTCTCATGAATGACTGGTTTTTATTGTATTGCATAGGGCAACAAAATAGAGGAATTACCAAGAAGGATTAGTATTTCTGCAAAGCCCTCTATGTTAATATGGACATGGTAGAGTGTGGTGCGTGATTGGCACTTAGAAGTTATTATTATTTTTTAGAAATGACTGCAGTGCAATCAGCTTGCTCCTCAGCATTTGGCTCCTTTAGAATCCAAATTGAAAGACATAAAAACATCACTGATGTTTTTATAGTTGCTTCAACTCYTCTAATCAATGTTCAGGTTGTCCCTGTTCAAGTAGTTTCATAAGAAATAAATATTTGGGATAAGTTTTGTCTTTAGGTTTAGCTCTTCTGCCTATCAACAGTGCAGCTCCAAACAGAACAGTTCCCTAAGAACTGTCATGGCGTCATCATTTTATATCTACATTTGGCTATGACTGGCCTTTTTTAGGGTGATTTATATATTTTCTGTTGTTGAGATGTTGACCTTTCATTGTATTGGGACCAACAAACACCACCTGCAGTAATCATCCATGAGCTGCAGGACCAATAAAGAAAAAAAACTATTAGTTTTGCAAAGAATTTGTATTGAAAGATTGATTTCTCCTCCTCATCTCTTTATATTTCATTTCTTCACAGCTGCTGGAGTTAACAGAGAACTACACACCTGAAGTATCTGAATATAAGGTGAGTGGATGTGTTTTAGAAACAGGAGTTGATTTTTAGATCTTTATTCATATAAATAAACTTTTTTATTTTATTTTAGGAGGGAAAAATCATAAGCTTTGACCCAACAACCAAACACATTGAACTTRAACTTCTTAATGCCTCTCAAGGTAGGGATTGTTTTTCCATTGATACACAARAAYGTGACTCACCTTAACGTTCATGTATTATGTTACACTGCAACAATGATTTTAAATAACTTAGTACAGTATTACRCTAATATATATTTTAAAAAGTATCRAGACTRTGATTAAACTGAAACTTGAAGATAATTTTATTTGAAAAGTTTAACTTTATTATCAAGAAAATTTGGAACACAACAAAAGTTAAATTAAACCAAGTCAAATTAAAGACCTAACACTTCCCTCGCTGTCTTTCCTGCTGGAGTTTTAGACTAAAGCTGGGCCTATACTCAATAAGAAATGTTGAACTTTGGTCTCGCTGATGCTGTTGTGGGATGAAAATTACAACTTCTTGTTTCCAAGAACTTGATCTGCGCGTAGCCCCTTGGCAGAGCTTTTTTTTTCTTCCTGTCAGGGTACGCACCAAGTAGTGTGTCAGAACTTTGTGGGCGTGTTCATGCAGAGAAGCAGCTGCAGTAACCTGCTGCTGTCATTCGGCTGAGGAGCTGCTGGCCGAGGCTGTTAGAAAATACAWCMATGTTTACAACTGTTCCTGCTAAACTTAGTCTAATTAAACCTAWAAAGATAGTCAAAGAACTTGTGGAAGGAGRTAGGACCGTTGTTGTGCATGGATGAGACAGCGAGGAGACACAGGTGGCTCTCCATGGCTGTGCTGCCCAAGAGGGACTGCACCTTGGCCAGGCTGCCCTGTCTGTTGGAAACTGTGGCGGTTTCAATTAGCACATCTCCTCGTTTAAAAATAGAAATACCAGATTATCCTCATCCATCTCTATCATCAACTGAAAACAAACACCCACTTTGCCAACGTTGCTGTGTAACTTGTGCTACAGTGGGAGGGGCTTACACGTGGAAAAGGCACCTGACAAAAATAATGTTAATGAGAACTAAGGCTGCCACTGCCATTTTTCTTACTACAGTTAATCGATCAACTAATTTATTGATCATCGAATCAGCTAATTTTCCTCCAATCATCAAAATCAACAATTATAATGTAGTTTAATTTTAAACTGTTAACAAACCAACAGACCTTAAATAAAAAAGTACAAGATACAGATTCACAGTGCATGACATGTAAATAAAATAAACCTCTTATTATTCATAAACTGAAGAAGTAAAAAAGCAGTAATCATCACGTTGTCAGGATATTCCTGGTGAGAACTGCAGCGAATGTAGAGTAATCTGCTTTTGCAGGAGTTCAGTTACAGAAAAAGGAGGAAACAACTGTTTTAAATGGAGCAATAGAGAAAATATGTAAATGTCACTTGTGAATTGTACTTTTTGTATATAATATAAATTTGTCAGATTTTAATTTAGCTTATCTAAACAATATTTACTGCTGGCTTTATGCAACCTGCAACCTAACACACAGGTGTGTCAAGATTTGTTTTTCCATCTGTTAAATAAGGTAGATTTTCAGGGAATTCAAAGCATTAGAAAACACAGCAAGTATTCCACACTTTCGTTTACAACTAAATTCATCAAAACATGACTCAGCTGATTTCTCTGTCTGCAGTAGACTTTTGGTGTTGGTCATTTTTGTATCATAGATGATACAATGAATTCAAATCAAAATGATTAAAAATAACGTTTCGACAGGCATTAATAGGAAAATGAAGTTGTTTTTGATATGGTGGCATGCATCAACAGAGACGTTAGCCCAGATTCACTTCTAAATGTTTCTTCAAACATTTAGTTACTGGGAAATGTAGCTTTAAAAACTTTTCTAACTGGTCTGGTTGGATACAAAATCAGTTGCTGTCTGCTTTAGTTAAAAYAGTTATTTTAGCTGAAATGTTTCAGAAAATAAAGGATGAATCTGAAGGAAATTTAGATGAAATGTTTGATCCAGTATTGTATTTTTAACACATTCTGATCATTGCAGCCATAAGGTTTAAAATGGAGAATGAGTCAGCAAAATATCTCATGAACTACTGGGAAGTTCTGATGAAACTTTCAGAACCTAATCACTGTGTGTACATCTACTATTAAATGCTTTTAGAGACAACTCGATTCAAGATGGCCGCCAAAGCTAATCAGCCTTAGCCTTGTACCTGAGAGTCATTTGTAACAGATTCTGTTTGTATTTATATATTTTTTTATTTTGAAGACAATTGTAAAAATGTATAAATTACACAGATTTCTGACTGAGCTTTTTGCCTGATGCCTCTCCAGCAGCTCCTGTAGAACCTGGCAAGTTTGATCTTGTCTATCAGAACCCAGACGGCTCAGAAAGAGTAGAGTATGCCGTTTCCAGAGGGTCATGGGTGAGCTTCACTGTCACTGACATAAAATACTCTTTTTTTTTTTCTTTTAAAGATGTTTTACCTTTTTGCTCACAACAGTGCTAAACTCCCAATCTTGAAACTAGGATTGTAATTGTCTCCTCATATAACATAAAAAGTATTTTATAAATGATACTTAGTAAAACAGCTTCAAACATCAGTCAGGTTGCTTCTGATTCAGTCTTGTGGCCCTCCTACAGGTGGCAGAACGCTGGGAGTCTCTGCTGGAACCACGACTCGTCATTTAATCATTATGCCACTTTATTTAAAGACTTGGGTTTTTCTGAACTGGGACATTTTTGTATCGGAGAGTGATCTGTCTGAAATAAACTTTTTTTCTGATAAAATATTAACATTTGTGCTTCTGCTTATTATAATGTCCTATTTTCTCATTTTACAGGGATGTGTAAAATATCAACAAAGTTCTTAGAAAATATTTTTCTTGTTTAGTTTTTAGTTACCATTCTGCTACTTTTACTTTTATCAGACTTGGTTTTTTTTT